ATTAACATTTAATATCACAGTAGATCTATTTTCCTTCTTCTTAATGGTCTCTATTTAAATGACTGAGCACAGCTGTCTCTTCTTTTCCACCAATAATTAACACCGACTACCTTTGCAAAAGAGGGTGAAAAAGTACAAATAGGTGTATAGATACAGCTATATGCCCTTTGAACTAATGTGTAGTTTGAACTTATCCTTTACTTATAATTCTTGTTAGACATGCAAAAGATAAGCAATCAAATGATCTACTTTGAGTTTATGTATTCTAATATCTCCTGGTAATAATGCTAACATATAATACATAGTCAAGAGCAAAATTAAATTGTTTCATTTTGGAGTTATAAATAATAATGTATATAAATCCAAGCACAAGTATTGTCCTATACTTATTAGAACTATATATCTTAAAGGGCAACATTTAAAAAATATCTAGTAGTTCACTTACTACTAAGTTTTAACTTATGTGCTGAAATTTGACTTCTATCCACATTTATCTGTTGCTCCTATTTTAAAGACTGCTTAAAAATGAAATTTACAGATATTTGGATTACCACTGGGCTGCTGAATACTCATACAATATGTCATGAACTGCTAGACATTTTATGTTTAAAATGAAAAATGTGGGTAACACTTTATTTTAATGGTATATTAATTAGTTCCAAATTACGATGAAAATCCTATAGCAGTGAATAAAATATGACATCTGCATGAATTTGAAATAAATTTATTATGATCAGTATTATCACAAGGAATACTAAATGAATTATTAATGATGAAAGACCAAAAGTATTAATGGGAATGTAATAAAACATCGAGAAAAAGCTGGAAGTTCCTAGACACTTCATCATCAACTAGAAATAAGCACTATAACCCTGGGTAACACTATATTCCTGTGTATCATCAGTGGCCACAAATTAACTGATGATAAATAGGAAATGAAAAAATGTGTGGTTAAATATGTTAATATGCAAAAACTATGCATTTTGCACATTAGCATACTGTGCTTACTCTGAATTCCATGTATTAGCTACTGAATAAATACTAGCTTAAAAACCCAATAATTTTTCCTTCTCATTCTCATATACCTTGTAACTATTTTAGATACCAGGAATAAAATTCCAATATTAGCTGCCCTCTATTATAAGATATATTGATGTGTAAAATTATTAGTTTTTGAATATCATTTCACTCTTAGGTCTCAAGGATGTCAACCTCCTTAAAGGCAGACACTATGCCTAATCTATACTTTGTGCTCTGATGATCGCCCACGTGCCTAGTAAACCCTCTCCTATTAATGAATATACCGATACTAATTATCCCAAATAGTTTAGATACTGTCCACTTACGGAGACAAACGAGTCACAGAACAGAGTTCAATGATGTTTCTGAAAGAATGGAGGCACAAATTCCCAGGTATGGGGGACACACTAGCTCACCCAGCTAGGGGAGCCCAGGTGACCTCAATCAGGTTAGTAAAGCTCTTTTCATCAAACTGCGGAGTGATGGTGTTAAAAAAAACCCACAACACTTCATTTTTACAATTTTTATTTACGCCGGGCTGTTACTTAAATCATTCTCAAGCTGATATCTCCGCCCCCCTCCACTCCCCAAGGATAATCCCCGTATGGTAATCTACTTTAACTTTGATTTGTTCCGGCCCACAAATGAAGGGCAAGCTTATACTTCTGAATGAGAAACTTGTTGTTAGGAACCTCTGCTGAAAACCGCTTAAGTCCAAGCCAGCGCTGAGCGGTGCCCCGTGGATGGCTTACCTGTTTCTAAAGTAGTACTGATGTTCCAAAGCGCGGACCGCGCCTGCAGCCGGGCTACGAGGCCCTCGCTCTGGCATCGGCTTTCCTACTGATG